TGTGTGTGTGTGTGTGTGTGTGTGTGTGTGTGTGTGTGTGTGTGTGTGAGTGTGTGTGTATATATATAATATATATATATATATATATATATATATATATATATATATATATATATATTATATATATATATATATATATATATATATATATATATATACATATATATATATATATATATATATATATATATATATATATATATATATATATATATATATATATATATATATATATTATGTATGGATGTATATGTGTGTGTGTGTATATATATAAGTGTGTGTGTGTGTAGACATGTATGTCACGTATACACACCGCATGTGTGTATACATATGCACTGTACAAACATATACACGTGTACACAGATATATGTATATGTATATATACAAACACACACACACACACACACACGCACACTACACACACACACACACACACACACACACACACACACACACACACACACACACACACACACACACACACACACACAAACACAAATACACAAACACCCACATCGCACACACATATACTTTATATTCAAATACATCGTCAATACGTGGTGATTCCAAACAGGTAATAGATAAGGAATAAATAAGCTCGACTTTAAGATGCAATGAGCTTTTGCAAAATTATGATTATGCATCATTTCATAATGATTATATTTCATTCTATAACGATCATGGGAACGATGATAAAAATAATGGTATTGATGAGGAGGAGGAGGAGGAGAAAACAAGAGGATGATAATAAAGATACGGAGAAGCTGGGAAAAATATATTATATACTGAATGATCAGATTTTATTAAAAGAAAACCACTTGAATACAATTTTATAATTAATTATTTACCATCCAGAAACGAACTGCATTGAGTTGATTATTTACTTAATCGAATTTAATCTTAAAATATCAAGTATCTCAGTGAAATATATGACAAACACGAAAATACGAAAAAAAGATGGAATTCGAAAATGGAAATTACTTGTCTATTTAGGTTCTTACTCATAACAACTCGCGACGAAATACTAAAAATAAAAAAAAAAATAAAAATAAAAATGAAATACGAAATGCCAAAATATACTAGTATATCACAAAAGATTAAAGTTATATCATCACTACGTTGAATCATTGAAGCAGAAAGCTTGCACAATCGTAAAATTGTAAATACTGAAGTGACGTATATTTTCCCCATTCTCTTTACCGCAACCCGGATCTAGCGACGAAAACACATAAATGAGAAAAACATATGTCGTAAAGTCCATTAACATTGCTTCATTAGATTTCATTTAACTGTGGATTTTACTCTCTTTTGGCTATACATTCTGTGACATTTCTATACGAACAATCCTCATTGCTGAAAAGTAGGATGAACGGCGAAAAAAAAAAAAAAAAAAAAAAAAAAAAAAAAAAAAAAAAAATATAATATATATATATATATATATATATATATATATATATATATATATATATATATATATATATATAATATATTTATAAATATCCTGGCATTATTCCTTGTCACGAAACCTTTCATAACATATCTTACCGTAAAGCCTGCACATTTTCCTCCTTCCCTGAAAGACTATAGTAAGTAAAAATAGATGTGTTTGCGGACTTGCAACCCTTTTGGCGCCAAAACATCAGCTTTCATAACCGTACTTGTGCCTAGTTACCAACGAGGACATTTCAAAGCCCAAAAAATGTAAAACAAAAACCGGAATTACAGGTCGTACGTAATGTAATTCAGAGGATGTAAGGTTTCCAGATTAGAGAATAGATGAACAAAAGATAAAGAAAGGGGATGAAAGAGTGATCCGTAAATCGAGTAAAAAAAAAAGCCGTTAGTTGGCGGGAAATTTTTGAACAGATGGCGGTTTTTCCGTAAGTGATGAATTCAAATAAAAAACGTCCAGCGGATTTCAAACACAGCTGAAAACAAGACATGTTCTCCCTTTCGATCGAGCCTTTTGCGTTTTATCTCAATTTCGTCTTTATGGCCTTGTTGGCTTAAGGTCAAGATTGTTTTGCAGAGTAACGGGATGCGTTCAGTACAACAGTCTATCATTCTTCTTAAATCGAACTATGTGCATACTTCTTTTGTATAATTAAATATGAATTAGATTCATAACACTTAAGTTATGCTTAATTGTGGCAAAGAACAAGAATATAAGAAAGTGCAACGAAACGTTTTCTACAATACCTTCTTGGTCATCTGGAAGTTACTGTTATATGTCATTATCTTGTAGTTGAGAGCGTTTTCCAATTTATCGTTTTCTCTGAGAAAATCAATATTTTTCTCAAAATCAAACAAAACATCATCAGAACAGTTGTGTCTTACTCAAAGTAAATTCTGCTAATGCTACAGAAAAGAACGATTGAACTAGACTTGAAAAAGTAATCTCTTTTCAAATAATCACGAACTTACTGTTTGTTTACTGCACAGGCAAAATAATGGACATACAATGTTTCTGAACGGTAACAAAAATTAAAGACAAACTTAC